CATTGTTGACGCTCCGAGCAAGAAAGAAATTATGATCGTAGCCAAGCAGTGGATTTTTGGAAAACAACTTTACCTTTTTCCAACGTAGCTGGTGGACATCCACCTACAAAACTGCGATAAACCAGATGACAATTGGTTACTTCTCAAATGCAAATTCATTCATGAAATCGGTGAGTAAAATACATGGGAACTATAATTTACTGTAGATTCTCGGCAGTCTGCCAAGGACGTGTTAGTGTCCCTCCGAATACTGGAGCTTCGTCGCAAGAACACTTCAACCGAGCAGAACACATTGCCATTGTACACTGAAAAACACTGAAAAACCAAAGAGGTCCACACAATAATATCACTAACATTTCTTAGAGGTTCATTGAAGCGTAAAGAAGGATTTCTTTTCAATTCAGTTGATATGGATGTGGCCGAGATGCAGGCTGGATATAACCAAGTACATTATCCAAAATTTCGGTTATTTGACAGAGTCGTCTCGCCGATTGCTAAGTACGTTTCGTTAATATGTAAATGTTAATGAAGTAGTTCTACACAAATAGAGACTTCGCCTTCCACGGTAGAATCAAAGCATGTAGGTTTTTCCTTACCGGCCCAGTAAGTCAACTGTGCCATCAAGTGAACTTGTTCAGATTTGACAGGTTGCACAAAACGTTGCAGAACGTCTCGTCCTCTGTCACTGACTTGAATAAGATGATGCAAAACATGTCTTCAGCTATTACTGAATTGAGTACTAATGTAAAGCTGTTGTTGTCAAATTCAAGTCAACGTCAACATCCGCATCAATTCGATTGCGGACTGTCAAGTCAGCAGCTTTCTTTGACGTCGGGAGAGGAGCTGAAGATGCTGGACACTGGTTTGCAGCAGAAGGAAACCAGGGACAGATTTGAAGTCAACAACATTAATTTAATAACTTGTTCGTATAACAGATGGCGATGGTCACTAGGTTAATGGGTGATGACCCTAGAACGTCACTGAGTTATATTTTGTCGTGCCTCATGACACCTGAGGTGGCCAGTAATTTCACGTTGATCGGCACTTCTTCAAAACGCGCACTCCAGAAATGCCAGTTTTATGGCTGCATACGAAGTAACCTATACTTATAAATTAAACTTCAGGTGCATTAACGAATCGCTTCTTGTCATCCTCCTTGAGCGAAAAAGACCTTGCGAGGCTGTACGAGATCGCGACACAAGGTTGTTTTCATGACGTCAGAGACAAATTGATCAAGCGTAATCGAAGGAAACAAAACCAGGTATGTACTCATTTAAAGTGATAACTTCCCTACTGCTTTATAGATACAGTCAACAGTATTAACGAACATAACCGTATGTTAAGCTCAAAGTATTTGGCTGTCTTGGAACATACTTTAGCATGTTATTCAGATATTGTTATAACTTCTTTTGTTCTTTACACTTCAGAATTCACAGGAAGACTGTTTTCACTCTCAATAGCCGAACATACGTGGCTAAAGAACGTAGTCCGTGCAATTTTTTTACGTTGTACTTCATTTTTATTGAACATTATTTTGTAAAAGAGTTTAATCTCTTACTTATTGTCAGTGAACTTGCGATTAAATGCACATGTGTCATGAATAATACATCACCTGTTTCTTCTGTTGTAGATCTTTTCAAACGACGATGAATTGGCAATTACAATGTAAATGCAAAACAATTGATGCTCAAGCTTCCGCTATAATGTTGTACAATAATACGCTTTTCCTTTGAAATAAAACTATTTAAATATTTACCGCTTTTCCCGTAGATTGCAGTTTCACTGTGGTCTGTTGTGGAAATAAAGGCGAATATAGGAGACCTTTGAAGTTATGCCAATTGTGTTTTAAAAGTTGGATCAAAAACAGGCAATTCTGTGTGCATTTAGGCGAAAAATAGACAATGTGGCGGATATTTAGGCAAAAAGTAGACAATTCGGCGGACATTTAGGCGAGAATTAGACAATTTAGCGACAAGGCGACAAAATTTTGTCGCACTTGGCTATTTCCAGCCTGCATCTCGGCCACATCCATATCGACTGAATTGTAAAGAAACCCTTCTTTACGCTTCACTGCACCTCTAAGAAAAGTTAGTAGTAAAAATGTACAGACCTCTTTGGTTTTTCCGTGTTTAACGGCAATGTGTTCTCATCCGTTGACGTGTTTTTGCGATGCTGCTCCAGTATTTGTAGGGACACCAACATGTCCTTGGCAGACTGCAGAGAATCTACAGTAAACTATAGTTTAAATGTATTTTACTCACCAATTTCCTGAATCACTTTGCATTTCAGAAGTGACCAGCTGCCATCTGGTTTATCGCAGTTTCGGAGGTGTATGTCCACCAGCTCCGTTGGAAATAGGCAAAGGTCTTTGCCAAAAATCCATTGCCTGGCTGCAATCATAATTTTTTTTGCTAGGAACGTCAACAATGACGTATTGTTTGTTAGCGGGCTAAATATAAAATAATCGTTAATGAAATTGTTTACGGCGATTAATGAAGCACAAATACAACGAAATACATTCACAGTATAGTATGTAACAATGGAACTATCACAAAATTATTGATGAAATTAATCGCTATACATTTACAGTCAATGTCCTTAAGCGATATCAAAGTGTGTTCATGGCTAACTACGGAGCATATAAATATTCCTATATCACTGGACGGGAACGGATCTTCGAAGTAATTGCGTGGGTCAGTGAAAGGCCGAAATTTCAGTAGTCCGTCCTCCCGTATATCAGTAATTAAACCAGGTTGTCCCTGAACTACTACCACGTTATCAGGCTTGAATGAAGTTATTTTAGTATTATTAAAAATAATTTCTTGTCGCTTGGAGACCTTAGCGGTGATAGGACTACTGTGACTTGATTTAGTAACTTGAAGCCTATCGCAGAATGACATTTTCTCAGCATAACGCTGAGCTGCTTGCTTAGCAACTGCATACCCGCCGTGCACAGAACTTTTTATTTGTCTCATGTAAGATTCGAATGGAAAGGCTGAAAAGCAATCTAAAGGTCCATGTGCACGAACGTCGTCAGGAAGGTGCTGTAACAAATGCACATTGTAAACTAAGTTTTCAGACCCATAACACCATTCGTATTCCTTAAGAAAATTTTTTAAGTCTATTTTGACAGAATCTACAACGGTTTTATGTAATTTAGGATGTGCAAGCAGATAAATGGATAACGCCATACGCCGGAAATTAAGAAACAGAGGTTGCGGCAGTGCTTTTTGAAGAATCACTGGTCCTAAATACAGAAGGAACAATCTACATTCCGAAGCTTTCCAAACGGAAACGAAGTCTAATGTGCGGCATTTGCGCTGAAAGTCGGACGGAGTACTAGCCACGCAACCAGATATTAAATTGTTTATGTCCCTTATTGCACATAAGTTCATGTTAAGCAGTCTTCTGTGAGCAAATTCTATCCAGAGATTGACTAGCTTTTTGGTGACACCTAAGTAAACCATGTGCATAGGATCTAAAGGAAAAGTGGAGATCATATTAATGGAAAGCGTTTCCATAAATGAATGGCCTTGATGGTGAATAGATTGAGTCTGACGACGAAAGCTGTCATCCGTTCTTAAAGTATATTCACCATTTGGAAATGTCATTCTGCCCTCAAGACGTCTACTCAGTACAGTACACCGATCGCAACCTGCCTTGGCATTGTGATTAACTGTGTACCTAATTGCAGAACGAGCAGGTGCGTCACATATTACACGGGACAACTGAATAGTTATGTATTTATTAAACTTAGTACTAAACAGACCCACGTCGGTCATTTCTTTTATTTCAGAAATGGTGTCAGCAGATAATTCGTTGAATTCTGCCGGTTTACTATTCCCTCCGTAGATCCCTATCATGAACACATCACTACACCTAGGGGCTATGATCTGTCCTAATATCGGCCATAATTGTTGATTTGAGCTTCTAGACATAGATAGTCCATCAACATTAATATGAAAATGCAAAGTATCAAAATCAAAATTACACAACCAAAGTTCAACATATCTTAGCAGATTGGTTTTCAATCCGATGTGATAGTAAACCCCACTCACTAAATGAAAGCAAGTTATGTTTTTTCATGAAAGCTATTCGTATTTTATTCCATCGTCTGTTATAAGTCGACCTATGACAACCAAGAACGCTTGACAGGTTAATAGTTGCCCTTCGTCTACGAGCTCTATCGGTGACTTCAATGGAACTAATGTTATTGGACTAACAAGGTAGTAAATTGTAATGAACATGAAAAACGGAGAGCGCGTCACTCACTTGCATCACGTTAGTTATTTGTGTTGGATACCAAGCATGTCCGAACACTTTAGCTAAACAAAGATTAAAGTCAGTGAATATGAGTGTCAGCCTAATCACTTCGTTCGTATTTTGTTAATTGTTTTCATGACAATAGTGATGTTTCTTTCATAATATCTTAGTTATTTTTTGGACGTTTATAAAAACATAAAAACTGGAGGCGGCATAGTCAAGAACTATACGTAACGTATTTTTGTCTACAAATATCCCCTAAATACACGCCGTAAAGGCGAAAAAGCGACATTTCCCCTAAATAACCGACGTAAAGGCGAAAAAGCGATATTTCCCCTTTATTTACGCTTTCGTCCCCTTTTTTCCCTTTTATTGGTTGATTGGGAAAGGGAGAAATCCGCATTAGTTCCCCCGGACAGGCGAAAAAGGCGACATTTTGGCGCGTTTTCCCCTTCTTAACCAAAGCATTTTATCCTTTATTTCCCCTTTTTTCGCCTTTATTTCCCCTTTATTGGTTGATTGGGTTGGGCTCCTTTCAAACAGGTCTCAAAATTGTCCCAACTTGTGAATCTCCGAGATATCATAATATCATTGAATATTCGTCCTATATCATGCATCATCACGATGGCATCATCTTCGTTACTTGAAAGATGGACGTTACCAGACATGGTGTGGCTGAACTCAATTCAAATCTAAAACCGTCTTGATTTGACCGCCTCTGACAAACTTCACGAATTGCCGATGTGACGCACCAATCATCTTGAGACAGTTTGACCTTCAAGTGCTCACAACCTCTATCAGTGGAAGATACCCCTGAAGCGTTGCTGAGGATCGTCCTGGTTGCGGAAATTGGAGTGAATAAAATGACAAGTTTTATCAAGCTAATCTGCTTCCAATTCTCCTCATCAGTAAAGCTAAGCGTCTCACGTTTCCCCTCTCAACAACTGCCAGTAAGGCCACATCGTTCAGTTAGTTCAGCGAGTAACAGCTCTGTCACCACATCAGAAAAACGTGGAAACCTTCCACCAGCTAGTGTAGCTGAGAAAGGTATCTCAAAATAATGTTTTGGATTTCTAAAAAGTAAAACAAACGACCAGAGATGTTGGATATTTTACGGTAGTTCTTGGTGGCTTTGTGCTTACAGGTGAGAAATGGATTGCATAACTAATAGTTGTGATGAATAGGCACCATTTTATATGCAATAACGCAGGAACTTTTTTCATCCAGGAGCCCTAATGGTGTTTATAACAATGCCTTCAAAATTTGTAAAACTGACAGTCGAGTGCGTTTATTGTAATCAGAAGATAAGACCCCAACTAATTACTTCTCAGGTACTTAGTCTTCTTGGAAGTTCTCTCAAGGCTCGTACCAGCCCCGACAGTCGTCGTAGAAGACAAACTATTGCGTAAGATACTATCAATTGTCGCGCTTAGCAGCGTCGACAATCTTTTGATTCGTAATGTTCATTATTTACAAGTAACTGAATTTCTGCATTCATAACTTCTGATTATTTGTGCATTGTAATATAGACGAGGAAGTCGATTATTTTAATAGTTATCGCTTTGAAAAATCAGGTCTCGGAAATATTTTGTGGGAAAGTTTTCCCAAAACTCGGCATTATTCCCGCTTAGTTGATTTACACAAATCTTATTCAAAACCGATGTAGCCTTCAGTCTTTAATCTTCAATATGCTGTGTTCAGTTATAGTTTATCCTCAGTTGGTCACGTTAGTCTATGAGAATTATCTTAGGCAATATTTTCACCTCTAAAGGTTAAGTAATCTCGAAAGATCTATCAACTTTCGGTCTAGCTTATTATTTCTAAAACACTAACATTTAGCTATGTAGATTTTCAGAAAAAGCAAGTCAATAATAATTCACCTTAAAAGAAGTCACATAAGTTATGTGTTCGTTTTCATCAGTGAACATAAGTTCGTGAGTTTTAGTCCACATCGGTCGTTTTACTTATGAAAATGTTCACTAGATGACAATAAGACTACAAACTAAGGGGACGTTATTTACCGTCTCCTAGTTTAAGATAGGTGAGCATTGTCCACCAGTCCACAAAATCTGACATATTTTAAATCCTTAGGGTAAAGTATTCATATTGTTTAATATGTTCTGCAAGTTAGATTAAAATTATGATAATCTTGAATGGTTGAGTAGCACATCAATTTCATTCGGATAATGCCTTTAACCAACATTAAAGTTACTAAAATGTACTTATTCAGATACTGTAACTTAATTTGGATTTTGTGAGTAACGAAATAAAACATTTAATGGATGATACTCGGATTACGTTATTCAAACCGTTTAACATGTGCCAGTTAGTACTGCTTCGGTTTGTGCACCCGGGCAGTATCACAGCCCACACACAAATCAAGTGACATGTGGCGCATATGTATTCGGTGCCTCCTTTGTACCAATATTTTTGTGTTCAAATAAAATAAAACTATTATAATCTAGTTTTACATCACTAACCGCTATCGCTATTTCAAGTTTTATGTTGTTCTAATCACTTGTCGTCTAACCTAGCATCCGTTCACATTATGTGAGGACTAATGATACTACTTGACTTCCCAAGCTGTGCTAGTTGAAGTAGGGTTTGAAAGACAAGTGGTTAGGTCACTAGGCCACATCAATACACTTCCATTCAATACATTAATAAACCATATCATCGTGTAATTAACTAACTAGCTTACCGTAACTCCTTATCTATGTCGACGATTGACTTAATTTTCTTTTTCACGAAACCTCTAGCTATGACTCATGGTATGATGACAAAGGTCGACTGCATATGGCAATGAAATTTTACATTAAAGGTAATTTGGCATCTGGTGTAGTTTATCTCGAGGTTGTAGAAGTAAGTTGTCTTGAACATTCAATGTAACCTTGTTGCAACATTCATCGATAATCTCTGCTAATCTTAAAAGTATTATTGAAAACGTTTGTATTTCAAATTAACAGTTGGGCATATTTCTTTCAAGATAAAGGGATACTGATATCTCGAATAAATAAACCTAAATAATAAGCAAAGTATGTGCCTCAGTAATCATTGTTCACATTCAAATTTTATTTTGACTAATTAACAATGTCACATCCCCGATATGACCCCTTAAAACAATCCTTGTGAATGGAACTCTAAAAATAATATACTTCACAGTGATTTAAACTCCTACACAAAGCTAACCAATGAAGTTACTGCTTGCTAGCATGAGAAGAATAGGATTCTTAGTTTGGTCCTTTGAAACTCAAGAAGCCTGTGATTGCAGACCCCGGCTGATATGGTTCAAAACAAGTTATTGTGCTCTTATTCCAGAACATTTGATTACCTTACAATAACTTGCTTTCTGTCTGTTCATTTTAATATATCCTTCCTTTTGTTGACAACCTTTGTTAGAAAATAATCATATCGACTGGAAGTAGTACACTTTTCTCCAAGGTTCTATATTTTATCTACCCTTCGCCTTTTTCTGTGTAACTACGTATTTGGCTGATTTTCGAAAAGCATTCAATCTAAAGTATTCAAGCAACATAGATATGTTCAACTGGGACGCTATGATATTCTTCAGTACTAAGCAGTCAAAGTGAAAATCTATATTTAAAAAAGTGTTCGCCATGTATTTTTTAGTATAAAATTGTACGTCAACTCCAGTTTGCACCCGCATGTCTAGTAAGGATGTTGAACATACTAACTACTTAGTTTTCAGGTTAATTTTGAAATTACACACTAGTGACGAATAAAGTAAAAGTACAAACATCTTTGGATGTTTGTACTATAAAAAATAAGCCATAAAAAGCACTAACCAAGCAAAAAATTTCCACCCAACTAGTCTTTCCTCAAAATAAAATCAGGACTAACGTATATCCTTCAATGTCTGTACTATTGATTATATAAACTCAAGCTCCCAAGTTTGGGGTATTTTGGGGAGACTCTCGAAATCAAATGACCTTCACCAAGGGGAATTTCCCCAGGTTTGGGGAAAGTTTGAGTTTTTGTGCCATTTCCCCAAAATCGGTCAAATTTCCCCAAAAATTGGGAGCTCGGGAGGTTGCAACAGAGCTTTAGATGTTATTCTGTCCTAATACATATGGTCTTTGTGATACTTGTGTTTCCCAGCAGTAAATAAATATCGGTTCCTGAAACAGGTATAGCCATCGTATCATTATTTTCCACAGTTAAATCGAACTTTTTTCTATAAATCTTTAGTTGTCCAGTATGTCGATTAATCGCAATTTCATCGTAATAACAACTTGTTATTTAAACTTAACATTAATTATTTCCCAAACTGTGTAAAAAACCATACTCATCTCTACTTAAATCTGAAAACACTAGTTTATTGGTAAGAAACTGTTTCGTACATTTCACATCCCGCGGCATAATTGTTTTCACTGTAATAATTCAAAGTGGTATACATTTTTCGGTAGATCATACATCTTCTACCTGTTCAAAATTTTTTATTCACTAGCCTGTTAAATAATTATTTAAATGAATACAATGAAACTGAGTCCCATAAGTCTGTATTTAAACCACATACCTTATTTTGCGATTTAAAATGTACAGATAGGTATCTTTTTGATAATGAACAAACCAATCGTCAATTTGACTTCCCTATAGTACGGTTGAGAGTGGGGAGAGTTAGCTCTCCCGAAATACTCTCACATGGCCACGCGTATACAACCACTGCCAGAGAAGTCCTACTCACTGCCTTCCCGCGGCGGGGGTGTTGTTTACGAAATTGAGAGGACAAAGCAGATGTCCGGAGCTTTAACCAGGTTGGTGGCTACGAAGGGTTCACCTAAGGGAGTTGGAAAACCCTGATTTTAAACCAGTAGTGCACATGGGCTCCAGTATCCTGAAGGAACAAATGGCGTATGAACCAATTGTTGGTCACCGGCTACCATGGTACTGCATCTCCTCACGATGCTCCACTGCCTTCTGGGTCAAACCTTTAGGCCAAAGGCTCGGGGTGTGTCCCCCTAAGAAAACCATCTGCTTCAATCTGGGAACCCTGCAGTATCACAGCCCTCACACTGACCAGTGGTAACTGCTACTGGCCTCATTGTTATCGTGTGGCGCATATGTATTTGGTGCCCCCTTGTACTTATGTTTTTGTTCAAATAAGTAAATAAGTACTGTTTGCATTCCCAAAATCTTCAAATCCATATTTTTAATCCTATTCTCTGCAATAAGAAATGTGTGTTTGGAATATATATTACTTACCACTAGAAAGTAAATAAATGTACGACTTTCTTTTGAAAAAAAAATAGTTATTATTTCTTCTTTGCATAGTTAAACATAGTCGTAGATTAATAAAAAAGTTTACTCTTTTATTTTTCTATTTCTCTTCTAATCAGAATGAATCTAAAGAATTTGATTATCGATATCTAATTGTCGAAACAGAAGGTGGTTTCTCAAAGAAACAAATTATACTTCGTTCATTCTCGGAAGTTGATAATCCTAATTTATAAGTGATCAATGGTTAAATGTACTAGAAAAAAAAACGCAAATTTGATATCATTTTGTACACATGAATAATAATCTATACACGTTTAGCCAATACAAAATTTTCTGTTCATATTTTTCTAGCGGGTGATTAAATCAAACCGTCTATCGTTTTCCTTATATACACATGGCGCGTTGCAGTGTCTTTATACTTATAAGAGTGAACAAGATTCTTAAGAACTTGAAGTGATTATAATCGGAGTTTAGTGCTCTCACACGAATTGAATGATTTGTGTGGTGCATATATATTTGGTGCCTCCTTGTACCAATGTTTACTTGTTTATTATTTTATTTGAACACATAAATATTGGTACAGAGGGGCACCAAATATATATGCGCCACACAAAACAATGATAATTTGAAGAGAAGGAGAAAAGAGAAGAAAAAAAAAGTAATGAACGTGGGGAATTATAAAAAAAAAAATAAAAGGGGAGAGAGAGAGAACAATGGTGGGGGAAACGGAAAGGTACAATCAGAAGAGATCTTTCAGTTAAGGAAGATATAAACACTTTTTATGAAGAAAGTAAGAGGTTACAGCACGATCGCCACTGGCTTCTATTCTTAGCCATATCTGATAACGTCTCTAGCCACTGCGTTACACCGTCTCTCGGACCCCAACCAGGGAGTCGTGAAGGACCAACAGAAGCTAGCCCTTTGCAGCTTTCTTTCATACCACGACACCATGTCATATACTGACCACCTCTCCGCTTTTTCCAACCAGTCCCAGAGTCGGCAAATAATGCACGACGAGGAATTCTCTGGGACGACATTCGTAGAACATGTCCAAGCCACCGAAGTCGGTGTTTCAAGATGGTGACACCAATTTCATTATCGTCTCTGTGACCGAACACTCGATGCCGAACTTCTGCATTACTGACATGGTGTTGCCACTGGATGCCAGCAATCCTTCGGAGACAACGATTATCGAACACAGAGTCGTCTAACATCCTCAGCTCGGAAAGGCCAGGTTTCACAAGCATAAAGCAAAACTGCTCTCACCGTCGCGTTGTAGATCCGACCTTTTACAGCCAGACTAACATCACGAAGGCGCCAAAGATGGCCCAGATTGGCATAAGCCGCTCTGGCTTTCACTATACGAGCATTGATCTCATCACTCACACCACCACCAGCACTTATGCAGCTACCTAGATACACGAACTTCTCGACTACTTCTATCTGCTCACCATCCAGAGTGAGTACAGGATTAGAATCCTGCCAGTCTTGTAGAAGTACTTTGCACTTCGAAGGTGCAAAGCACATCCATACCTACGGACATTGATTGCCAACTGATTAAGTGCGGATTGCATAGCTTGGGCATTCTCGCACAGTAAGAAAATATCATCCGCATACTCAAGGTCGAGAAGTCTTTCTCCAGGCAACAGATCCACACCACCATTACTTACATCCGTCAGAGCTGTTTCCAGAATGTCATCGATGGCAAAGTTGAAGAGGAATGGTGAGATTGGGCAACCCTGCCTAACCCCACTGCTCGAATGGAATAACGGAGAAATGTGGTTGTATGCCCTCACTCTGCCTGAGGTGTTTGTGTATAGGGCTTTTAGGATGTTAATAAACTTCTCAGGCACACCCTTCTTCAATAGACAATCCCAGAGAACAGTCCTATCCAACGAATCGAAGGCAGCCCTGATATCAAGAAACACAACGATTGTTGGCCTTTGATAAGTATGGCGGTGTTCTAACACTTGGCGGAGGGTGAAGATATGATCAATACATCCTCGACCAGAACGAAACCCAGCCTGCTCCTCGCGAGTCAATCCTTCTCGGGTCCTGAACAACCTACGAAGTATGACGGAAGCCAATAGCTTGGACGCAATCGGAAGTAGACTTATCCCCCGATAGTTGTTACAGGAACAACGTGAACCCTTTTTAAAGATAGGGACAACTATCGACTCATTCCATGACGTTGGTACACTCTCTAGTTCCCAGATCTTTGTAAACAACGTCGTCAGTCCCTTAGTCAAAAAGTCACCACCATCTTTAAAAAGAGCCGGAGGTAAGTCGTCTGGGCCCGGTGATTTGTAACGTTTCAAGAGTTGGAGTTCCTTGCGGACTTCCGCCTCATTTGGTGGATCAGTCGTCACCGGCCATGGAGGGCAGGACAGTCTGACCGATGTTGCCGGAGCAGCAGGCCAGTTGAACTGCCCTTCAAAGAATTCTGCCCATCGTCCAAGACGTCGATGGATGTTAGTGATTGGCGTTCCGTCATCCTCGCAGATTGTTTCGCTCACACCAAACTTCTTGCTGCCAGTGGCTCGGATGAGTTGGAAGAGCTTCCGGTAATTACCAGATGCAGCTGCTGCTTCCAACTCACTGGCACGCTCCGACCACCAGGCTTCTCGGTCCTTACGCAAGCTTTGCCCGATTTCATTACGTAACATCCTTCGTCTGTGGTCAAACTCACGGTCACCCGGAGTAGACTGACGGGCTTCAATCAGTTGTAAGGAACCAGAAGAAACCCAGTGCTTGTAAGCTGGACGTTTCGCAAACCCACAACAGACTGTACCCGCCATTTTCATGGCGTCATGCAATTGCAACCAATGCTCATCTATACTTTTCGGTGGAATGGTAGCTAGCCTAGAAGCTAGCTCGGTTCGGTACTTACTAGCAACAGAAGTTGCAGCCAGCTTGCTAACATCAATCCTTTGGTGGCGGTCACTTCGTTGTCCACTGAAAAGTAAGGTAAGATTGGCGCAGACCAGAGCATGATCAGATTCCAGATAGGTACTCCAAAAGGAGCAGCAGTCTTGTACACAACCGCGCCAGCGGTAGCTGATCGCGATGTGATCAATCTGAGTCCAGGCTTGAGATGCAGAAGGAGGACGCCAGGTGGCACATCGGCGATGACTGTGCCGAAAGTTAGTGCTAGCCAGAAACAGGTTGTGGTCTGTGCATAGTTGCAGTAGACGTTCCCCGTTATCTGTCCTGCGACCAACGAGTCCCCATCGGCCACCTAAACGACTCTCTTCTGTGCCTAGACGCCCGACCTGAGCATTCAAGTCTCCGGCTAGTACTACAATATCTGTCGAACGCGCTTTCTGGAGAAGAACAGTTAGCTGATGGTAGAACTCGTCCTTGATTGCATCCGGGCTGCAATCTGTCGGGGCATAGGCGGAGATGACGAAAAGACATCGTTTCTCATGCCGATTTCTTCTCACTTTGATGGAACTTTCTAATCTAACAGCACATAACCGACTGTTAATGGGGATCCAGTCGATTAGTGCTGCCTCAGCTCTTGCGCTTAGTGCGACACCAACGCCAGCAAAACCAGACGAAGATGCCACAGGGTCCCCGGATAAACGCACATAAAACAAGCGTTTTGAAGTGACAGATGGAGAGCGAACTTGTAGTACTTCACCAGAGTCTTGAATACGGGTCTCGGATAGACAACACACATCAATATTAAGACTTTCCAAAGACATAGCCAGTCCTATCTGTTGTCCGACCTGCATAAGTGTGCGAACGTTGAAGGTAGCCAGTTTGAATGGTGCACGCGGTTTCAGAAAAACTGCTTCAGTACTCATGTTCGGTAGTAACATACAATTTTCAACCAGGCAGTGACTCGGGAACGTTTAGATAAAGCTGAATTTTCACCATAGGTGAGCTGCTGTCTAGGTCGAAACGCATATATAAAGTAGGAATAAGAGAGGGTGAATAAATGACGTGGTAGAGTAATAATAATAATAATAACAATAATATTAGTACGAGTTATTTCAGTGTTAATCAGATAGAAAGGAATAATTTCCATAAGCAAATTGTTCATCATAGTTTTAGTGAGTGGGCTGGGATACTGCCCGGGTGCCCAGACCGAAGCAGGTGGTTTTCTTAGGGGGCCACACCCCGAGCCTTTGACCTAAAGGTCTAGTCCACAAGGCAGTGGAGCATCGTGAGGAGATGCAGTCCCATGGAAGCCAGTGACCAAAAGTTGGTTCATACGCCATTTGTTCCCGCAGGATACTGCAGCCCATGTGCACCATAGAATTGGGATCCGGTTATAGCGCCGGACATTCGCTTTTCGTCCTCTCATTTTCGTAAACAACACCCCCGCCACGAGAAGGCAGTGAGTAGGACTTCCCTGGCAGAGGCTGTATACGCGTGGCCGTGTGAGAGTATTTCGAGAGGGAGGGCGAACCCTCCCCGCTCTCGGCCATACCAGGGCATTTGGGGGCATGTTTACTTGTTAGAATAAATAAGTTGAATGTTATCCTCTTAGCCTAATTAGTTCGTGAGTACGTGAACCTTTGACTGAGGTACCTAGGATTGGTGTTACGCAACCAAAACTATCGCCTACCTCGACGCATAATGCTGTTTGACGGAAAAGTAGGTTATGCAAGTTAGAGGTGACCAAACTAAGAAGTACCATCAATCCACAAAGTCAATAAGTACCGGTTTGAGTCGCTCTAACAGATCAAAATTATCTGATTGGTGTCTGTAGAATAGCTGCGAACAATGGTTAGGAACCTTGCGTGATAGCTTAGAATCGGTTATAGCAGTTCAAATCCATTTATTCGGTATCTTTCCTTAAGTGTTGATCTTTATATACTATTCTATGAATTCATTCCGAATTTCCAAAGCGTATTTTCTATGTTTAACCTACTTACTGTTATCTTGATTCTTTTGGTGTTCATCTTGTTAATTTCATCTCTATATTGATATGAGCCCCCAAATGCCCTGGTACGGCTGAGAGTGGGGAGAGTCCGCTCTACCTCTCGAAATGCTCTCACATGGTCATGCGTATATAGCCTCTGCCAGGGAAGTCCTACTCACTGCCTTCTCGTGGCGGGGGTGTTGTTTACAAAAATGAGAGGACGAAAAGCGAATGTCCGGCGCTATAACCGGATCCCAAATCAACGGTGCACATGGGCTCCAGTATCCCGAAGGAACAAATGGCGTATGAACCAATCGTTGGTCACCGGCTACCATGGGACTGCATCACCTTACGATGCTCCACTGCCTTGTGGATCAGACATTCAGGTCGAAGGCTCGAGGTGTGGTCCCCTAGGAAAACCACCTGCTTCGGTTTGGGCACCCGGGCAGTATCATA